GTATAATATTTTACTTTCCGGTAAAATAAAAAATTTTTCAGAAGAAAAAACACATGTAAACTATTATCTCACTAGCACTAATCCTACGACCTGAATCCGGAAAAATAGATAATCCGGAATCGCCGAAGTCCCGACGAGTCCGGATTAAAGACTTTTGACTGTATACCACACTTTGTACCTCCAACTGTAAACATACCAGCTAATAAAAAAATTGTACAGCAAAGAACCTTTAAACAAACAAAAAGAAGAAAAATAATGAAAAATTTAATTCGGACATCAGTACAAAATTTTCCTCTCACATTTATGATAAATAACAAGACAAATATTTAGGGGCAACATTCTTCTTAAAATTTTCATTGTTTAAAAATTACATTATATTGAAAATTCATTGATGACCTATGTCTTAGTAAAATTAACTTATATTAATTTTACTATTACTTTACATGTACAGGACTCTGGTATTTTTTTCTCTTTATAGAAACTCATATTCAGTAAATTTCCAGCTATATACATTTTAAACAATTTTAGAGATTTTAAAATGTTCTCACTCTGCGGGTAACTGTTTACACAATATGAATGAATTAACTACACAAACATCAAGGAAATGAAAAAAAAAAATTCTGTGCCACCATTTGACACTTTTTCTCTCAGTCTGATATAGACATTTTTAAGTGGTCAAATTAATCAACATATCTCATATGATTATTATAGTTTGTGATACCTTAGAAATAACCATAAACCTACCAAAAAAATTTCAGAATATTAAACCGAAAGTACAAAATCCATCCTGTCCCCTAGTAGCAGTATTTCCTACATGCTTGATGGGACAAATTTGTCCCACCTTTTCATTTCAATCCTTTTTAATTATTATATATATATGAATTCAAATAATACTTTTTATCTGCAAGAAAAAAAATATTCATTCTAATAACAAAGTTGTCCAAATGATTTAAAATTGCATAAGAAATTAAAACAAAAAATGCTTCAAAATTAGACCTGCAAAGAATTTTTTCCTACATGATTTCTATGAATTACTAGTGACACCATCTGTTATATATTTAGGAAACTGAAAGGTATTATTGTATGTATTTTAAACAGAATTTTGCAGCTGTCATCTTGGAGATAAAAACTGATAAAAAAAAAAGTCGTCCCGACGCCCATCAAAGGGTTAAAGGCTTTATGGACCTCTTTTTTTTTTTTTTTTTTTTTTTTTTTTTTACCTTCTTATTTTAAAATTTTGATTTCAATGCTGTGTCCAAGAAATCAAACAATAGCACAAAAAAAGGAGTATGTGTGTATTGTAGAAAAAAAGAAATAGGTGGCACTGGATGCATTATTAAAATAGACACAAAAGTACTCAAATAAACATCTCTCTCCAAAGTTGGCAACAAATTTATAATTTTTGGTGGTGGTGAGGTGTGATAATTAGAAATTACCTAAAAAAATGAATGAGATGAAATGCTCCTTTTCAGGAAGGTTATTGTTGATCAACTTAGCAGCATAAATGCCAGAGTGTGATGACTAGGTTCTGTCAAAATTTCTTCTCTCAGTTTCAATTTGTTTCTTTGCTTTGCCTTATGTGCTATACTGCCATGCTTAAAGAAAGAGCTTTCAATGATAGGGAAAATGAACAATTTTGCAAAAAAAGGAATTTGGAATGGACACTTTTATTGATACATAAGCACCAGAAAAACCACTTAGTGCTCAAAAATTTTATTTTGTAGCATAGCACAAACATACAATTAAGAGGAAGTGTAATGCCAATGAAAACAACAAAACATTTACTAGTGTTTACAGCTGCATGTCATGTCATAAGTAAAGTTCATGAATGATTTGAAATTGAATGACATTTTGGAAAGTTAAAAGTCCATCTGCAAAAAGATATTTTGAAAGTGATAAATTCCCTATAAATCTATTTTAAGAACATATTGACATACTGCTTACATTGGTGCAGTTTAGGATATCCAAAGTGTGATTTTGGACAGCAATTCATTTTCATGATGAATGCTGTGGTAAAATTCATATGTAACATTGCAACTAAAACCTTACACCCTAAAATATCAGATATATTCCTTCTGATAGCAGATGTAGAAAAGAAACCAACAGTTTCGGTATATCTCAAGTTTCATCAATAGAATTATTTTCGTTTTAATAGAAGTAAGCATGACTATGCCATCTTTTCTGAATGATGATGAGATGTATAAAAAAGGTGAGGCATTTACAGGTCGTTTTCTCAAAATACTTATCTAAAATGCACACCCTGTACACCTTGCCGAAAAGTTTTTTCATGAATTGTTCACAGACAATTGCAAACTTATTTCTAATGTAAAAAGGATGTTTTTAGAATTACCTGCTAGAGCAAAAGTCTTTAGAGAGTTTGCAGTTTATATATTGTTGCCTTTAAATCCAGTTTTTGAAAAAGTGAGGAATATGGTAGCGTGCGTGATCTTGCTATTTTGGCGAGTAGTAGCGTTTTTTATAGAGGGTGGAGGGTAGGGTGATTGCACAGAATGCCAAATACTGAAGTTTTTTTATAGATTTCTTTGTGAAATGTTCTATCTTTATTCAGTTATTTTTGGTTTCAGTGAAGGATGATTAACAGATTTTACTTTCTGTATGTTTTCGTGGGCAGAAAATACAGTAAGGTTGGCCCTAATGACTAGCATTTTGTCAAAACCACCAGACAGATGCTGTCAATATTTTTTATGTTCTTCGATTAAAATGCTTAGGCGTTATTTAAAAAGGCATCTCTAAATAAGAGTCTCACATTTATAGCTTCATATTTCTTCTCAAATACAAGCTTCCATGGAGAAACAGAATCTAAATTTAGTAGTCCTCTTTGTATGCATTTGATGTGATGAAAAAATGTGTCTCAATATTTACGTTGAAAAAGCTGTAGGTTCAAGCATTGTGAAAACATGTTTGATATTCGTTACGAATCCTGTGAATCTCTATGTTTTTAAATATGCACCTGTCCCATCAGCAGATGATTGTTTTCCTGCCTCAGGGGCATTTTAACAGATACAACTTGTCAAGTGGAGAATCTGAAGAAAATGCCTGTGATATTGACACAAGTGAACAATGTGTTACATGGTGATATTCCTTTCTTATGTATCAAAAAAAAGGCAGGGAATCCTTTTTTTTTTTTTTTTCCTGTTTGTTTAAGGTAATTCTTGACCATGATATTTATTATTCATTAGCATATTTTCTCTGGAATTCATGGAAAATACTAATATTTTATGGTGTGGTATTTAATTATGGCAAAGCACACTAGGGCTATCTGCCTAAGGGGAGGGATGCCTTTCGTGGAGGACTTTCTAAGGGAAACTGGCTCGTATACACGTTACACATGGGGAAAACCACGAAAACGCCCATGCAGCCAGCCCGTTCGCGGGATTCGAACCTCGGACCGAACTACCAGTGTCAGCGTCTTTACGCTCGGCCGCCTAATATTTTAATGATATGTAGGAATGTTTTATGTACTTTGTTTATCGATATAAGAAAACTTTATCTTTATCAGTGCTAGTTATAGTACATGAAGTGCGTTAATGAATTCACAACTTAACAAGTTAACATATTCATTTTTCCCAAACTATATTTTAAAGAATTTTTCTTTATCTATTTACCTACCACTTTCAGCATTTTAGTTGACACAACTGCCTCCTTATTCATAAAATACTTACAATACCACAGATTTTAAATAGCATTTAAATTCCTTTGAACATCATTATAAATAAACAGAAAAATTATACATTTTGTTATTTTTATGCAGTTTGAAGTCATTTGAATTAGATTACACCAAACCAGTTTGTTAATTTTGGTGACTTTGGAGTGCATAAAACTTCTCAGTCATCTCACAGAGCCAATAAAATGATAATAATCTTTATTTTACTGAAATCATTTATTGGATGTAACACCTAACATCTCCGAAAGGTAAATATTAAAAAAAAATATCATTCGAAATATATTATTTCATTATAATGTTACTCTAAAAACTTATCTGCTTAATATTATAGGTAACATTATAACAACAGAAGTAAAAAACACTACTTCATTAACCATTTAAAAATGTATATTTTGAGGGCACGATATTTAGAGCTGCATGGAATAATACGGCTCTGAGAAAGACGACAACCACGTTAGCTTTGGTTCAACCCCCCTCCCAAATTATTTACATTAGAGCTACTAGAGATACAGGCTGCTCGCAGCCTTTTGATCTAAGCTTTAGTGTTGCAATTTAGGTGTGGAGCGGCAACTTTGGCTCTTTAGCGTGCCGCTAAAATTTACATCTAGAGAATCCGATTTCAGCTTTTTTATGCACTCCATAAAGAGGTTGGCTTTTTCCCCTTCTTTGTCTGCAGTTCAGTTCTTTCTCGTATTTTTTTTTTTAAATGCCAAATTTCTCGTATGATTCAAGTTATTTTAAAAGTTTTTAAAAATTTCACATATCATTTCAATTTGTATTTTAGTTAAAATACTTTCTTTTGAATTTCTTTTGAATTTTCAATTTTTTTTTTAAATACACGCATAAGTTATTTACTCAAAATGTTTTTTGACAGAGCTTCCCTCAACCACATTCTTAATATGGTTGAGGGAAATCCCTCAACTCCATTAATTTAGGATAGGTTTAATCTTAATTTTTGTTTTATTTTTAATATGTTATTGAATTTGCTCACATGGATCAAACGTTATTACTGTAGCAAATTTGTTAAAAATGTTATTTTGTGTGTGTTTCCAGAAAAAGCTCCTAAACACTTTATGATTTAAATACTGATTCAAGATATACACCTTAATTTACATCTTCTCAAACGGAAGTGACGTCTGGCGAGCAACCGAGAGTGGGGAGCTCTGGGATAGATAAGAACCCAATGTCTAGGCGCTTGTTACATTTACTTTCGTTGGCATAATAAAAAATGTTGCCTAGATCCTTAAAGGAACCATATTGTCGTCACCAAAGCTGTTCTCCCGATAATTACCCGAATATTTCAGTGTACTAATTACTTTCCCTATTTCTTTCTCTTGCTCCTCTTAGAAATTTAGGGCTTCGGGCCAAAAGACTGAAACCATCTTTCGGACCGAAGCTGTTTGTATGACATCTGGGAGAACTGTGTACAAAATATAAAGTCCAAATTTGATTATTTAAGTGATTCTCCAGCTATGGAGAAAGCGATAACGAAGAATTTTGTCGCAAAATCACGTATTTTAGTTTATCCAGTCTATGAAATTTTAGTAATAAAAATTCATTTGCATGCATGTCCGTTAGAAAATTAATTCTTGCATCAGTTTTGTAGTGGAATTGACATATTTTCGTTCTCCTAGATTAGCTAACAAGTATCTCATTTTTGTATTCCAATTAGATGGTCAGCATTAAGTATAATCAGAAAAGTCTTCAATATTCATTCAGCTTGCTTTCAATAGAAAGTGATGCTTTGTTAAATGAAAAATTTATTTTTCTTTTCACTTCATGACTTGTGATTGTTATTCATCAGTTCTTGAAAAACTAAATGAACTTTTTCACAGAATTCCTTTACTAAGCCTATTTCGTACTGGTAAATTTTAATATATCACAGGTATACTTCGATACATAAATATGTTACGGTGATTGCAAACGTAAATATGAGCTTGAAAAATTAAGTGTATGACTATTGTACTCAATGATAGTTTTGTTGAGTGCGTGATGAATCCATTAACAACGGAAAGGAGTTTTCTTGAGGCATTTCTTTCTCTAAACTTGTTGCTGAAATGTGCCTATAGCTGTTGAACTCCAGTATGTGTTGGTGCACAACACGAAAAGTGAATAAATACTGTGTTAGGCATTTTTAAAGAATAAACAGGTTAGTATTCTGCTGAAATGGAAATTCATAACAGATTTGTCTTCTTAAACTTCTGCTAAAGGAAAAATCAATAACAGATTGTTTTCATTAAACTGTTTGTTTCATTGAACTGTAAACAGATTGTTTTCATTTGACGTAAATTTTTTTTAAAGTTGCGATATCTAAAATACATATCACAGTGATATTGCAGTTTAACTGATTCACAAGACCATGTGGGGACTAAAAATCAAAAGGAAATGCTTAAGCAATTTCTTATTTTTTTTTTTCCAAATATTAAATGAAATACTTGTGTATGAATCCATGAAACATATTTAAGTAGATATACTACTCTAAAACTTTAATTTTATACATCTGTTCTTCTGGGATTGGAATCTTTGAATGAATAATATATGTAAATGAATAATCAGCCTTCATAAGGTATATTTAACTAGTGGTTTTCAAGGGTAGATATTTTTAAAGATGCATATGAACATGCACAGTGGGAAGGATTGTTACACATGTGAAATTTGTTACCAATTCTTTGTGCAAAGTTGTGACTTAGAAAGACATATGCTTGCACATACAAAGCAGACTCCTAACACATGTGCTGTATGTGACTGTACTTTTGCACAAAAGTCTTCTTTACAGGCACATATGCTGATCCATACAGGAGAAAAACCTTATGTATGTGATACTTGTAATAAACCATTCAGGCGAAAGGAGCGTTTGTTGGAACATATGCACATTCACACAGGTGTGAAACCTAATGTATGTGATATATGTAATAAATCGTTCACACGAAAAGAGCGTTTAGTGCTTCATAAGCGTATCCACACAGGTGAGAAACCATATGTGTGTGAAGTTTGTAACAAAGCATTCACTGAAAAGGAGCGTTTGGTAGTGCATGCACGAACCCATACTGGAGAGAAACCTTACATGTGTGATATGTGTAACATGTCTTTCACACAAAAGGTTAATTTAATGATGCACATGCAAATTCATACAGGCGAAAAACATCATGCATGTGATGTGTGTAACAAATTGTTCAGAAAAAAGCATGACTTAAAGTTGCATAAGCGTCTTCATACTGGAGAAAAACCTCATGTATGTGTCACATGTAAAAGGGCATTTGCAGAAAAACAAAATTTAGCAAAGCATATGCGCATTCATACTGGAGAAAAGCGTCACATGTGCGATATATGTCGCAAGTCATTCACGCGAAATTTTGGTTTATTGGCACATATGCGCACACACACTGGAGAGAAACCATATGCGTGTGAATTATGTAGCAGATCGTTCACTCAGAAATGTAGTTTAATAAAGCATATGCGTGGTCATACAGGAGAGAAACCTTATCTATGTGATATATGCGACAAATCGTTCACGCGGAAGCAGCATTTAATGAATCATACACGTCTTTTTCACACAGAGAAGGAAGCTCACACAGCACCAAATCAAGAGGAAAATCATATAGGTGGCAATGAAACTTGACTGTATTCCAAATATATCAAAAAATTAATTTGAAAAGTTATCTATTTGAGGTTATATATAGCTGCCAGCTGTTCTGGTTTATCTTCACATTTCGTGGTCTCTCGCTAGATCATCGAATCTCCTGGTTTTTAATTTTTAGCCTTTACTAAGAATAATGTTTGTAAGTAATAAATGAAATTCGTTTAATTAATGAGGCTTTAATTGTGCAAATTCTATTCTAATAGCTTTAGTAATTTTTAGCATACATTTTCTTGCTAAATTTTACTTTAACTGAATTGTTGTAATCTACTACAGTACAAAGTCCGTAATCCAGACTCGTCGGGACTTTGGTGATTCTGGATAGGGGTTTTTCCAGATTATAGATCATCAATTTAAATCTGGTAAGATGGCATGCAGAAATTATACAATTAAAAATATGAAACCTTTATTTATGAAATAAAGAGCAGTTATGATCTAAAGGGTATCAAAATTCACAAAAAAAAAAGCTTAATATTTATTTGTTTACTTTATTAAACATTTCTTTCAATGTAAGTTGCTTCGTTTTTTGTGCTAAATGCGAATGCGTAAACATTAAACGCGCATGCGTAAACGTATTACAAAAAAAAAGTTTGTGGCTTTGAGGTCTGGATTATAGATCATTCCGGATAATAGACGTCCGGATTACAGACTTTGTACTGTATAAGCATTTATAGAACTTTTCATGAAGAGTCAGACCATGATTAATTAGTTAATATTTATGTTTAGTATAATTTTACATCAACATTTGGTATCATATCATGTTTATCTAATATGTACATCAATTACTAATTTTATTTCCATGGTATTTAAAAGCACTTTTATAAATTAAAGCTAGCCACACTTGACCTTTTTCCCATTTTTTGGTTTTATGTGTAAGTGATACCTGTTTCTGGAATTAATGCAATATTAATTTTTTTTTACATCAGATTTGTATAAATATTCGACCGAAGTTCTGCAGCTTTTTTTTTATTATAAATACAAATGAAGCAGTACAAAAACATAATATTTCATTGAATCACATAAGCACCATTTTGTTCTTGCTGTCTCTCTGGCAGCTGGAAATTTCCTTAAAAAATTATTAAGTTTGTTCATAAAGAAGTTACAAGTGCTGTTTAATAGTCTCCAGAGAAGTGAACTCATGGCTATTCAGAGAATTTGGAAGAGATGAAAATTTTAGGGGTCAAGGCATGGGGAATGTGGTAGGGTTGATACAAAACATCTTAGATATACTCAATAAATCTTTGTCAGACATTCATCGAAATGCGAGACTGAGTATTGTCATGACAAAAGATCAACATTTTGTCAATTCTAGCTGTTTTACTTCAATTTCTGTTTTATTTAACTGAAACTATAATCTGATTTGGTATGAACAATTCATAATTATACAGTTCCTGTGTAGTCTCACCACACACAAAGATTACTTTTTTGGAATGTAGCCCCCCCTTTTGATATTATTAAAGGATGTACATTTGGTATACCTCATGATCTTACCTTAATGGCTTCATGGCGTCATGGAGTAAGCGAATGATGGCATTTAGCTTACCCCATGATGGCTTACCTTTCAAATCAATATGAAAAATATTAGAAAACAATGTGGGAACGTAATAAAAAATTATGTTACAGCCAAAGGGGGGGTTTAATGGCTTACCTTTATATATTAAATATCATGTTCTTTGCACTTAAACCATTAAATTCAATTAAACAGCAATATCACAAAATAATTTAAAAAGAGCATATCTTTAGAAATTCCGATACACGGTCTCGTGTGCTGGAAATAATTTTTTTTTTTATTAATGTACAGTGTTGCCATTGTTCGCTTTGAAATCATTGAGTTTGTTAATCAAAAAATTCGTTAAAGTTTTCAAAATATGAAATCGATAGTAAAACAAATTCCAAATTTGGGCTTCCAGATGCCCTTTTTTCGAGTGTAGGACTGCATTATTTAAACTTGTCAACTATATTTCATCAAACTTGAACTACATTATTTAAACAATATTTTTTAAACTTGTCAAATACATTTCATCAGTCTCTGCAATTTTCAACAAGCTCGCCAATTTTATCTTTTGAGTATTTCATCAAAACCAAGCAATACAGTTCTCTCATGTAGTTGTTCGAATCAATTACTGTCTTTTCACTCATATTTGACTGTTTGTTGCATTATCTTCTGGAATTTAGTTCTTCAGCATAGCAGTATGTGAAGCACAAGGTAATCGTGGAAGTATGAAATGAATTATCAGTACAAAGACCATTTTTTTCCATGGCAGCTTTTTACACTAAATCTCCAGTACTTTATTTCCCTGTAAATGATTTGATTTGATGTCCATTTTTACACTATGGCTTAAGTTCATGGTATGTTAAATATAGTTAACATTTTAGAAAAAAAAAAAAAAAAAATTATTAATGAAGAATACAAAAGAAGGAATGATACTACAAAGAACCTAATGCTTATTTTCAAATTCATGGAAAGTTAAAAGTTGGCAACATTTTAAAGAGAAAATATTTAACGATATCACACAGTCAGAAATGAGGGTGAAAATAAAAAAATATGTCATGTTATAAATATCACAAACAATGATTGCTTCTTTTCTAATTGATTATAAGTTAAAACAATAAACATTTCACAGAAAGAAAGGAATATTGAATTGAGATATCTTAGGAATAGCATCATAATCAAAACAGGCTGAAAATCAAATCCATTGCAGGTAAAAATCTGGGGGTTATATTTGCCACATTTGGTGACCAGTCTTTTGATTGTGACAATTGCTCAAGGTGGCAGCTTTAGTACCTCTCTTTCTTTTAACATTATTGTATAGTATCGAATTCACGTTTCGAATAGTGGTTCATTTAAAAAAAAAAGGAGCTTTATTATTTCATTTTATCAAGAAATAAAATGACAAAATTCGAGTAAGCATATTCTGCTACGTAAGTATGGGGACTCTCATAGCAGCTTATGTACCCAATATTTTTTAAAAAATCACGTACTGTAGGCTTTGAAAGCCCTTCATGAAGGCATCCTTCTCCTTAGGCACAAAATTATAATGTGATTTACCACAAGCAAAGAAACAAAATAAAAAGCATGCTGTATTTTGCTAAAATTGGTCTTTCTGAACTGTATAACGTGTAGTTTCATGGATAGCTTCTTTTAATTTGCACTTATTTATGGAATTTAGTTGTCCAGAGCAGACATAGTCTGCGATGCTGCAGTTTTCAAACCATCTTTGAACTGTGTCATCAGCACTTTACCCATATACAGCTCATATTTTATGTGTAGCATTTTGGGATCTTTTAAAATAAAAAAAATAATAATAATAATATGATAAGGATGAACAGTGGCGTAGCTAGGGTGGAGCAAAGGGGGACATCTGTCCCCGGGCGCAGCATCCAGGGGATGCCAAATTGATGGTACGAAATTTTAGAATGAAGTGTTTTCCATTCGTGGCACACAGAAAGGGGTGCAAAATCTTCAGTTGTCCCCGGGTGCTGAAAACCCTAGCTATGCCTCTGAGAATGAACTTTTGGATATAGCATTCTTAGCACTACAATGAAAAATTACACCATAGCATATGCTAGGATTGTGCAACATGAAGCTGAAAAGACCATATTTACAGATATGCTTTATTCAAGATTACTTTTTGTCTGCAATAAGAAAATGATTAGAAGAATACTTGGCTGATCTTTAGAATATGGTAACTGGTAGTTTGGCGACATTTTGGAGGCGATAAAGGTTACTACCTGGGACTTTGGTTATAATGTGAGCAGTACTCAGTTCTGATTACGCATTATTTTGTGTGAGGGAAATGAGAGATCATGGGATATGTCATGTGATATTAATGGATGAATTACGATTCTTTAATCGGAAAAGGGGGGAATTTGGAAAAATATCTGTAGCTGTATATTATTTTGTATTAAGCTTCATTGTGTGTTGTGTGAAGTAGGGTTGAATAATTTTGGGATTGTATGGCGCTGTCTAAAGTGAAAAATCATATGAATGTTTGGAAGATGAAGGTTTTAAACATCTTGCTGTGAACCACAAATATTATTTTAAAGATCTGGAAACAGGTGCACATACCAATACAATAGAGGGCACGTGGAGTGCTATAAAAAGCGACATTCCGAGGCATTGTGATAAAGAGAATTTTGCTTTTATTTAGCGGAGTAAGTGTGGAGGAAAAATTCGCAGAAAAAGTCTTTCAATAATTTTATTGAATACATAATAAAAGTGTATCCACCATGTAAGCAAGATTCTGAAGAAGATTAGGTAAGTTAGTATTTTTAATTATTTGAGGATATTATTTTTATGCATTGTTTTAAATGTAAGGTGGAAGTAAAGTAATTTGGTATTATTGCGAAAATTGTTATTAGCAATGATTTAGTTTAAAGTAATTAGGATTCTAAGCTAATTTTTATTAATTTAATGTATGTGCTTATTTATATTTTAAGTAGTGTTTTTGAATTTAATTATATTTTAATTAAATGATAGTTATTTTGTGAATTTTATGTTTGTAGGAATTTAGTATACGTTTTAGTTGAAGTAAACGTGCATGGAAATAATTTAAATATTTGACACTAAGTATTTGTAATGCTTGCGGTATGAATTCTTTGGTGACGTTTGTAATATAATAGACAGTTTTGGGATATTTTATTTATTTTATATGTGGAAATGTTCATATTTGGAAAGGGTGTATACTTTTTCGCGATCAGGTAATTTCATATATGTTCTTTTTACCGGGTTTAAAGATTCAAAAAATTGTCATGTATTTTCGTGAAATTTTTCTAATTTATGAGAAAAAAGCAGTGTACATGGATATAGTGAAGAGTGTGCGCAGTGCCATTTTTGTGCAATTCTGGGATTTTTTTTAAGTAAAAAAAGTCGACGTGTACATGGTTTATGTGTATGTGTTATTTTGAAAAACGCGTAAGGAGTATGGTATTGTGCACTTTTTCCCAATTTTGCAGTGAATATTTGTCATGATTAAGCAGTTTTGTTAGATAAAATTTCTAGCGTAAGTGTAATTCGGCTAGTAGATTGTTGGAAGAAGTGTTCAGTAGATAAAAAGAAAAGAAACATGTCTTTACTTCATGAAGACAAAATGCCGGCGGGGAAAAAAAAAATAGAGGGTTGCTATAGGAGAGTTGGTCGCCAAAAAATCGCCAAGTTGCCATAATCTAAAG